TTTGGTTTTAATTAAATGTTTTATATCATTCCATTTTTTTCTGGGCTATTTGAATATTAATTACACTTCACTTTTAAAAAAGTTTTAGTACGTGCTCTAGAATTTGAAATATAAATTTATGACTAATTCAAATAACACTGTACTACTTCATGCATAATACAACTACCTTTTAACAGATTATTTTCATTTTTTTCTCCTATCCCTTATAACATAGCTGTTATTTACCTCCCTCATCCACTAGCTATAAGCAACTATTGCATTGTCGTTATTATTATTGTGAACAAGGCCTCTTTTAGGTCAATTAAGAATAAGGGGCTAGCTCCTTGGTGGTGAGGGTGGCCCAATTCCACATGTCCCACCCCATGGCAGATTAAGGAACATGCCAGGCACATGGCCAAAATCCCAACTGGATGGAGAAGTGGAGTAGGGGTTATTGCTGTATGACCATTTCCTATAGTGGAGGGGAATGTTTTGTTCTCTCATCTCTCTCTCTATCAGAGAAGTGTGAGTATACACACACTCTAGCCCAAAAAAAAAAAAATCTTTTTAATTAAGGAAAATAGAAAAAAATTATTGTACCCTTATTTTTTCTTTCTTTAGTGCTCTTCATTTCTTTATGTAGAACTGAATTCTTAACCTATTTCAGTTCTTTCTCACTGAAAAAAAATTTTAAGAGGTTTTTTGCCTTAGGGCTCATGAGAGAGAGAGACAGTGAGAGGGAAACTGAGAAACCCCCCTCCCCCAAGGGAAAGATCACACCACAATTCCTTCTCCCTCCCGACCCTGAGATCTTGGGCATACATGCACACTCCTGGTGAGATTTTCAAGCCCCCTGGCCCAGGACTCAAACTGCGGTTGCCACCTTGGGAGTCCAGCAACATAACTGCTACACTATCTGCTGACGCCTCACTGAAAACTTTTTAAAACATTTATTGCAAAGCAGGCATTGTTTTTTTTTTTTTTTGAAATGCATGAAATATTGCTCTATATATTATAAAAATAAAGCTATCACCATTCTAGATTTCAGTGTTTATCATAGTGCCAATGTAAAAAAAAATCACTATCATGCTTCAAACAAATGCCTAAACTTCATACACTCACATTTAAAAGTGATAATGAAATATTTGCAAAATGTTCCTGAAATGCCATGTGTAATTGTTATAAATAATGTGTTAGTTTCTTGGGACCAGCAAATGGCACAATGGTTACGTGACTAGACTCCTATGTAGTTGAGAACCTTTTGAGTTTTCTGGGGCTTTAAAACTTATGCCAGGTACATGTACTTGCATGCCCAAATCCTGAGAAGAGAATGGAGGAGAAGGGATTGTGGAATGGCCAACCCCTAGGGGATGCTTTCCAGCCTTCTGTCTGTCTCTGTGCCTCTGGTAAGCACATGTGTCCCACAGGAAAATTCTCTTAAAAAAAAAAAAAAAGAAGAAGAAGAAAAGAGAAGAAAGAAAGAAATACTCTGTTAATTTCTTATTACCAAAAAAATTACAATTTGGAACAAAAAGAAAGCAAGAATATGGATGTTCTTCACCATAGAAAAGTGATACTTAGTTATATGAAATTCTATTGTATTCATTCTATCCATTCAGCACCTTAGGGAAATGATACTTTATTATGTAAAATTCTACTGCACTCATGCTATCAGAGAGGAAGGGTTTTTTTTTGTTTTGTTTTGTTTTGTTTTTCAAATAAATTGACTTATCTTTTATCTAAGTATTTTCGTCTCTCAAATTCTCTTTGTCATCAAAAAAGTGTCTGTCACAACCCAACCCCCCCCCCATTCTTTATGTTTATACCTGACAAACACAGAACAAATGTGAAGCTTTTTCTGGGACCTGGAAAGTGTTAATCATAAAAGTAGATATTTAGGATTGAGGGTTTTGGGTCTTTGTTGTACCAGGGTGAAGAGCTAGATCCCTATTGATAGAGGCACTCATGCCCACATATTATTTAATATATTTAGTTTTTGTGTTTTTGTAATGCATGGTCTCTCAAATAGGCTGGGCATAGGCCAAAGGTATTTCTTTCCTAGGTTTTCTTAAGAAAAAAACTTGTAATCTCAACCACTGAGGACCCTCTACCCAGATTTCACCTCCCTGCTCCTCAGTCTGGCCAGGATCCAGGCCAGAAACCACTGCAGAGGCACAAGAAATATGAGAAACAAAGAAAATATTCCTCCTCTAAAAGAAAAGACTAACTCCTCTTTCTCCACAGAGAATACAAGGGAACTAATGGAAATGTCAGATAAAGAATTTAAAATATCATAGTGACAAAGCTAACAGAGATGCTAGAGAAGAGAGACAACAAAGTCCAGAAAATGATCTGAAAGAGGAGATACACATCATTAAAAAGAATCAAACAGAATTGCTAGAGATGAAGGTTGTAATACAGGAAATCAAAACTTCCCTTGAAAGTATCAAAAGCAGAATAGAACATGCAGAAGATATTATCTCAGATGCAGAAGATAGAACCTCTGACCAAGAAAAATTCACTGAAAAGACTGAGAAAATAACCCCCCAAAATGAGAATAACATGTGAATAATACAAGATACCATTAAGTGCCCAAACATCCAGATCATCAGTATCCCAGAAGGTGAAGAAACAAATAAAGGTATTGATAATCTATTTCATGAAATCCTGGAATAAAACTTTCCAAACCTAGAGAGGCACTCAAATATCTAGACCCAATAAATACAAAGGACCCCACATAGAATTGACCTAAGAAGACCTCCCCCCAGCCACATTATAGTCAGATGGACCAAAAACAAGATACAAGACAGAGACAAGATACTAAAATTGGCAAGAGAGCAATGTCAAGTTACTTTCATAGATTATCCCATAAGGTTAATGTTGGACCTCATTGGAAACAGTGCAAGAAGGATAGCATGGGAAAATATATTCAAAGTGTTAAGTGAAACACAATTTCCACCAAGAATACTATACCCAGCAAGATTATCTTTCATATAGGAAAAAAAGACAAAAACATTCTCAGATAAACAAAACCCGAAAGAATCTACCAACACCAGACCAACTCTCCACCAAGTGCTAAAGGGAGTGCTATTCTAGAAAAACTAAAGTTGGACACACAGAAATAAGAGTACAAGAAAGTCCAGCCTAATGGTATGGTCAAGCCTAGAGTTAAACGTTAACTTGCAGAGTTTAAATGGAAAGATCAGACCATAGTAACACTGCAAATTCAATAGAAGAGAGATTAATTACATGAGTCTGAACTAGTGAAATAGAATTTTTTTTACTTTAGACTAAAACATTACTGATTTTCTTTGATGCTTTGATTTCCATATTTAAGGATTTTTGTCTTCTCTTGAATTATCGATAGGTTCATCTACCTACTATTTGAACTGAATCCTAGTCTTTTTCCTGGTTTTAAGTTTTAAGCAAATTTCTCTTAACATTTTTTTATTTTGATCTATTAAAACTAAAACTCTTCTTTTGAAATGAAAAAATGCATTAAAAATACTTATTAATACCTACTTAATGACTGCAGTAAGCTATTTAGCCCCAGTGAGTTGCTACTTTATAGTATTTTTACTTTACTCACTGGGGTTTATGCCTAAAGTCAGACATGCACTCATAAATATGTATATAGTGGCTGTGCTTGCTATTGAAAGGCTTTAAATTAATTAAGATCTTTAGTGTATCCATAAAATGTGAAAAAAAGGTATGGAAAACAATTGTACATTACCAGAGACAGTGTGGGAAATAGGAGGGAGTTGGCAGAGGGTGAGAGGTAGGGAATCACGGGGGGAAAAAATAAAGCAAAATATATAAAAAAACAAATAGAAAATTATTTGTTGATGATAGCATATATGGTAATATCCTTGATCGAGCCAATATTCAATGTATACTGAATGGAGAATCTCATTTTGTATACTGTATTGATTTACAGTGAATGACTGTAACTAAATTAAGTAATTAATAAATAAAAAATAAAAAGAAAGAAAGAAAAAATTGCCAAATCAATTCCATTAAGAAGAAACATATACGTTTATATAGTCTGATCACTTTTTTACAGGATTAACTGTTGATTTAGTAGCTTCCTTGTTTAATGACTGCTTTTCACATGTATGGAAAGTATTTATTTCTACCTTTGATCAAATTCTACTTCTCTGGTTATGCAACAACAACAAAAATTTTCTCCCCTCTTCCTTCTGAATTTCTTTAGTGTTCATCCAAATCAATTCTGTGGTATTCACCACAGTCCACCCTCTGTTACAATTATTGGTGTTATCACTGTTCCCTTGTGATTCCTTATCAATACAGCATTTATTTTGCATAAAACAAAATATGTTGTATTCCAGGTATACCTGAACACCCCAGGCAGCCCATTGTCCAGGTTGGCTACAGGGCTGAGGGGAAGGATTGTGGAATAAAAACCCTGTCAAGGGTACCTTCCCCCACCCCCCTTTCAGAAATAAATGAATAAACTTTAAAAAGAAATTCAAGGGCTAGCTCCTGTGATGTCATGGCTAAAGATTCAGATTGTGAGCTCCTTGAAGATAAGTGGCTTTGTGGAATGTTTGCATTGCTCAGAATTCTTACTATGTGTTTAAGAAAGCTTTAATATACTTGACTTTGGTGATATAATGGGAAATTCAGTGTTTAAAATTATTGCTAGAGAGCATGTGTGCTCGCCAGAGAGAGAGAAAGAAGAAGGAGAAAACACACCCTGCCAAGTCATGGTCATGCACAATCCTTTTTTTACTCCATTTTTTCATCCCACTAGGATGTGGGACATGCATGCACATGTGCCCAGCATGGAGCTGCTGGGGTTGGGATCTGAACTACAGTCAGCCATGTGGGAGCTGGCTTTCAGTGCAATGCACTGAACCATTTATGCTATGGCACCAGCCTGCTGTGGGAAACTTGAAGTTCAACAGAATGGCATCTATCTAGTGATTTAAAAGAATCTTAATAATAATAATAACACAAAATAAGATTTCTGTGGTAATCTTTTATCTTTTTCTTTCTAGGATTTCCAAACTGTGTTACCGCCTTTTGATCTCTTCTCAAAGTATGGTAAATTGTATTCAAAAGCTGGACAAATTATATAAAGGTATGCATTTTTGCTAAAAACTATTTCAAAGATCATATTAAATAACATTAAAAAATGGAAGACTTCATAAATTTGTTTCATTCTAATCTAATAGTTTCCAACATTTGAAAATTATTAATTAATTTTGGGCCAGCTGATGACATGGTGGTTAAAGTGCTAGAGCCTACATGGCCGATCCCATGATTCAAGTTCTGGACCTGGCAGCTTGAAAAACAGGCCAAGTACATTTGCACACATGCCCAAAATCCTGAAAGAGGAAGGAGAAATGGGGAAGGGATTGTGGCATGACCATTCCCCATGGAGTAGGGTATGCTTTCCCACTCCCCCCCCCACCTCTCTCTCTCTCTGCGTGTCTGTCTTTTCCAGATGGGCACACATGCCCTCTTGCAAAAAAAAAAAAAAAAAAAAAAAGGATTTTGTTTTTCAAGTCTCTTCTCTAAAATGGACTGAAAATACATTAAGAAATAAAACTGACAAAAATCTAAAAATATTCTTTATCTCTAAATTAATACAATAAATAGTCAAAAAACACTGATGGTGTCCAAAAGGTAAAATACTTCCCAGTACTGTACTGATACCATATCATTAAAAATACTATACTCAATATGTGCATTATTTGAAGTACGAGGTAGCCTAGGGGGATACCAAAGAAATAGTTTAGGGTATCTGATTATCAAAGTTTATAGAAGAGACAAGACCAAAGATAACCACATAAAATTTAAGATCACAAATAAATTTTCAATGAATGCTATACTCAATTGCTAAGATGTTTTAAAATTAGAAGAGGTTACAATTGACATGAGACTAGTAGGTTGTTGGTTTGGGGGTGTTTATTTGTTTGTTTTTAACCAAATTTAAAAGAGAATTTGGATGAAGACAGTCAAAATCATGACAGTTGAATGGAAAAGGCAGGAAGGAATAAGAAATAATGGTAGAACTCCCCAGGCATGCTCCTAAACCAAGAACCAGGAGAGAGCACTGAGCCGTTAGAAGGAGCACGGGTGAGGTTCAAGGAATCTGAATAGAGTGTAAGTATCTCCTCCACCCCTCTTATGTCTGAATGATCCAGTCTGGAAGTTAATATATTAATGCAGATACCAATATCTGTCTTTTAACTACTCCAGAGGAATGCATGAAGAAAAATATGAAATATTCTTATCTAATAGAAAAATGTGTATATAATGCAAAGTAGAATTGCTGTTTCAGAGGTTTTAGTATCATTACACATGGGAGCATTATTTGGTATTTGTTGGTTTGTTGTTGTTGTTTGTTTTTGAGAGGTTTTTGCTATAGAAAGACAGAGAGAGAGAGAGACAAAGTGAGAAATCACCCCTTTGGGGGGTGGCCATGCTGCAATCCCTTCTCCTCCATTCTCCTTTCAGAATCTTGGGCACGCATGCACATGCGCCCAGTGTGAGTTTAACTCACCGGGGACGGGACTCAAATTGCGGTTGACTACATGGGAGTCCAGTGACATAGCCATTATGCCAACTGCTGGTCCCATTATCTGGTATTTGTGAGCCACAGTACTAAGTAATCTAAATAAAATGCTTCATATTGTGTGTGAGTTCAGATTAAAATCTGAATACCTATCAATCCTATTTATAATTATAATGGTGAAAGACTGAAAATAACCTGAACATTCATTAATATTTGCTAAGTTAAATAAATGATCAAAACACATACTATGCAATACTATGCAGACATTAAAAATATTAACATAGATCTTTATATTTATTATTTTAAAATCAATACCTACTATACACACACACACACACACACACACTATGTTACTTTTGCTATCAGGGGTGAGTGTTCACCAGAGAGAGCCAGAGAGAGAGAGAGGGAAAGTGAGAAATAAACCTGGTGATTTCTTCACAGTCTCTTCTCCTCCCATCTCCCCTTGGGATTTTGAGCATGTGTGCACATCACCCAGTGTGACGTTTGAGCTGCCAGGTCCCCTACTTTAACCACACAATATAATATATTGTAGCTGGGCCAGCTACAATATATTATATTTCTTTCTTTCTTTCTTTTTTAAGAGAGATTTTTGCTATAGGGTGCATGCACTTACCAGACACAAAGAGACAGAAATTGAAAAATCATGCCCCAGGAAGGATGGTCATGCCGCAATCCCTTCTCCTTCATTCTCCTCTTGGGATCTTGGGCATTCATGCACATGCGCCTGGTGTGAGTTTTTTAAGCCACTAGGTCCAGGACTCAAACCTTGGTCTACTATGTGGGAGTCCAACGAGATAACAATTGTGTCATCTGCTGGTCCCACAGTATATTACATTTCTAAGAAAAGAATGCTGAATTTGAAGTAGTCCCTATAGTCTGATCTCCTTTAAAAATATGTATTTATATGTGTGCATATATATACACACATATATATATGTATTCATAAAAACACACATACACTTATTTATATACTAAATATGCATACATATTCATTTGTATATTGCAAAAATGTTAATAGTGGTATCTCTGGTAGTGAGATTATGGGTACCTTTTCTGGAGATACTTTTGTTAATTTCCATTTTTTGATGTTTTTATATAATCAGACCAAAGCAAAGAATTAAAACAAACTACTCCAGTACAGATTATTTGCTCTACCCTATCAATTACAAAAACATCTTGACTTTATTCTATTTAATCATAATAATTTAGAGACAATTATCTTTTTTTTTTCTGAAGACAAAATAATTACTTGCTAAATTATCTATACAAAAAGACAAGGATGAGTAACAAACGTTTCACATTATTTTTAATTAAAGAGTGTGCAGTGCAAAGACACAAATATGTGACACAATTTTTTTAATGTTTGCCAACTCTTCTTTTGAATTTTTAACTATTTTATGAATTGACAATGTTATCAAAACATCATCTCCTCCTCTTCCATAGGAAATTAATGCCCAATGTTTAATTTGGCTAAGTGAAGGATAGCAGCAGCCTTAGCTGAGGCTCTCCAAATAATACTTAATTCACCAAATACTACAAAGTGCTTCCGTTCATTGTAAAGGAGGCCAAGACGGGGACACTTGGACCAAATTGTTGCATAAAGATGCCATAGTAATTTTTAGTGCTATCTATTTGATTGCTTCAGCTTCAAGGTAGTCACCACTTCCCTATAATTCACCTGACATTGTCCCTTACACCCAATACTACATTTTCCCATCAGTCCAATTAAAAATAGTGATGCCTTTATCAGATTAACCTTTCTTTCCTTTAGCATGTCTGAGTTTAAGATAAACAGAGATTGCGTCTACGCGTTATCATTAATGCACTAAGATTTCAGCATTTCTCTGAAATTGTTCAGAGAGAATTAGATATTAAACCCACAGATATTTTAAAATCTACTCTCTGAGGCCACCCAGTGGCGTGGTGGTTAAACAGCTGAATCTCACATGGCCAACTGTGAGGTTTGAGTCCTGAAAAACACACCAGGTGTGTGTGCCTGCATACCTAGGAACCCAAGGAGAGGGAGAGATGGAGGAAAGGGGATTGTGCTATGATCATGCCACCTGTGGGAGGCTTTCTCACCTCCTCTCTCTCTCTCTCTCTCTCTCAAGCTCACACACCCTCTGGCAAAAATCTTAATTTTTAATAATAAAATCTTAATTTTTAATAATAATTTAAAAAGTGAGCATAAAAAAACTACTCTCTGACTAGGATAATATGATTTATTTTAATTTCTTTAATTTGTCTTCATAACTGATCACTTTTTGTAGCCTTTGATAGTTTTCTAAAAGCAGTTTAGTCTGAATCAGAATGTGCTGTGTTCTGTCAGCGTGTTTTGCACCATTCATATTTCCAGTCAGAGGAGTCTCTTTAAAGATTATAGTGGAGAAAAATTAGAATGATAAAGTGAAATCATTGGTTGTGATTTTATGAATTGGATAATGCATCCAGTTCAGTCTGGCATCAGTGTGAGTTTTCCTGCATTACATGGTATTCCATTTTCTCAGTTTTCTCTTTGCAATGGGCTTTAGTCCAGGTATCTTTCTGCTAAAAAAGTAGTTCAATTTTGAGGCGAGATGAGATGAGATTTAATTAGATTATTTGTTAGGCATGAAAAACAATGTACTTTTTCTCCTATCCCATAGGAATTTGGCATATAAATTACTCAAATAACTGGGAAAATCTGAAAATAAAAATTAAGTTTGGTTAGTACCTGGGCTGAGAAAGAGGTAAAATTTCATTGGTTTGTTGTTGTTGTTGTAGGAATGAGATCTTAGCAACTGTATAAGGAAAAAAAGTTATGTGAGGCTAGGGTAATAATGAAACATATAAGCCTTTAAAACTTGTCATTCGGTTTGACATTATGTACATCTGTAACCCTTTTAAGTTTAGTCATAGTGATTTGGCAAAATACTACTACTAATAATGACGATATCTTCAGATCCTTCTGTCGATTAAATTGTCCTTTCATGAAAGATGCTATACCCAGCCCAACTACCTACAGGAAGGTGTGTTGCTTTTTTTCTATAGCTGAGGCAGATTTGCTGAATAATCCATATATCTAGCACTGAAAATGAGTGAAGGCAAGTGCAGTTGCCTCCCAGACATTCACAGAGCTAAAGTTGAGAAAAGAAGATGGACATAGGGAATTCGAGAATTCATTTTATTGAGTTTCTTTTTCTCCATTCATTTTGCTGTTTTGTTTTTAGAAAATAAAAGAAGGCAAAAATGTAAAAATGAGGTTAAGGTGTAAAGTGAGTATGGAATAGAAGACCTCATTACCTGAAGTCCAGAATCCTATGTTTGTGGTTGATGAGTAACCTTGACAGGCGTCTCTCAACCTGCAATTTTCTCTCTCTTATCTGTCAGAAAAAGACATTAAAACCATCTCTGTTTATTGAAAAGCCTTTACAGTTCTATTTTTAAAAAATACAGATGAGGATTCTGTAGGGAAGACACTGAAGCAAGACTTACTATGATTCAATAAACTATAGTATTTTGAAGCTTTCATCTTAAATTAATTACAGTGTCTGTGTGTA